GTAATTTTGAGGAGGGCTCAAGTGAGCAAGGGTTTCTTCCGGATTGGGTGCTGTCAGGGAGTAATTCTGCAGCTTGGGGACCCACGTTTATCTAAGAGGTAGGGGCAGTGGAACAAGGCAGAGCGGTGGCAGTCACCCAAGTTAGCCACAAGAGGGGGTAGTTTCATCATTTTTAAGGTTTACGCAGTACTTGGGTTTTCGTTCAGGTGTGATTATAGGATCCCACTTCATCGGGATCACGGAGCGCGACCTGGTCTGATGTCAGAGACTTAGGAATTGTTAATGTTTGATAGAAGAACACCATGGCCTGCCTGTGAGGGCCAGGCCAGCTTCTAGCTCTCCGAAGCAACTTTTTCTCACACAGAAATCACTTAAATAGGTAGAAATAATAGTGTAAAACAACATAAATAGGTCAATTAAATTATACCTATATGTGGGGACACAAAATAGCTTGTGGCCTTCCTAATATCAGTTCGGCACCCCATTAACTGGGTTTAATTTTGTGATTGTCAGAGCAATGTTCTCCTGTTGGAGAAGGTACATGCCTTCACTGCCAGGCTTCTGCTTTCCTCCACACTGGTCACATGATCCGATATTATAGTGGACAGATGGGCTCATTGAAAGGCTGCAGGACCAGGAGGGTGGAGAAGGACAAAGGGTCAGATAGGAGAGAGTCTGCTGGTCAAGGTTCTTGTGGAGACAGAAGGGAGGTGGGGTCCTGAAGAGGTATTCCCTCTGCCTGGAATTACCCACTCCTTGTCTGCCTGATAACTTCCCCATCCTTCCTTATCCATCTCCCAAGTTCCATCCTCTGATTCCTTCAGTGAACTCGGGCAGAGCTCTCCATTCCCTTTCTTGGGTTTCTGCTGAGTGTAGTGCACACCCCCGGGGTGCCCACAGGCTACTACACTGGGCTTGTTTAGCGCGCTGTCTCCCTGAGTTGAAGGTGACTTCTCCTGGCATCAAGTGCCTCTGTGTTTGGCTGTGGCTTCTGGCATATGGCAGGTGCTCACGTGACACACACCCTGTGCTTCCTGGTACCGCAGCCCCCTGGGTAGTTCAGAGCTCCAAAAACACATGAGAGCTCTCTAAATCAGCGAATGCCTGCCCTTTCCAAAAGGAATAATTTTTGTCAATGAGGTGAAAACACCCTATCATCTTCCAAAATATTCCAGAACTATTAGTTCTTCAGAATATGAGTATGCTCCGTTTATCATGTTTATAATTTTTGTCAGTTGAGCTTACAGTCTTTTTTTTTTTTTTAAAGATTTTATTTATTTATTCATGAACGACAGAGGTGGGGGGGGGAGAGAGAGAGAGAGAGAGAGAGAGAGAGAGAGAAGCAGAGGGAGAAGCAGGCTCCCAAGAAGCAGGGAGCCCGATTGCGGGACTCGATCCCAGGACCCTGGGATCATGACCTGAGCCGAAGGCAGACGCTTAACCATCTGAGCCACCCAGGTGCCCAGTTGAGCTTACAGTCTTGAGTCCTCTACTCTCACTCCGTAGGACCTGGCACTAATCCATCCACTGGGGTGTATGTGTGGTGGGGGTAGAGGTGGTTGCTGCTAATGGAAACACACTTGAATGCTACTCCAGGGGCATGACAAGAATAGATCAGCGCTCAGCGGAACACGCCCTAGAGAGCAGGTGGACCGGTCCAGAGAATTCATCCAGAGGTACAGTGAGGCAGGTGGAACCACAAGGGAGTAGGGTCTCTATTCTGAGGCCTGGATATAGGATTTTATGTCTCCTTAAGGGAAACAAGGCAAGAGATGACTGGTCCCACGTTTCGAGGGAAGGGCATGAAGGCAGGTTAGGGCTCAAGTCAAAGTGAGGCTGGATGCTACGTCCTCAGGAAGTGTCTCCCACTTCAACTGAGCTCTGGTTCCAGAGTCAGATCTGTGGTTGACCTGCATGCGGGGTCAATGGTTGCAGTATGGACAGAAAAGGCCTGGTAGGACAGAGGGAGAAGGAGGGTGAAGGGCCATTGCATTACGCCAAGATGGACCAGGTCAAGCTTGAATGGCAAGTGGCACAAAGATGCGACTATGACTAATACCCATGTCAGCTCAGAGGCTGGGCCTATTTCTGTGTGGGGAAGTTTTGAGAAGCATGAAGCACTTTTTAGAAGTGCTGGGTCCAGTTTCTCACACTACTCTGCTATTATGAGGCAGAGAACTCCACTGCCATGTTGTCCTTAGAAAGTCCCTGTCTTTAAAAAGCTCTCCCTTAGGGACTCCTCTACTTGGAATCTTTTGGATTATTATGAACTGTACAAAAAGGCAAAGAAATCTGATTAATCAACCCGCGTTCGTCTCAGTTGCTTCTGTCACATTAATCAGATTTTCTTTCTCAATAGCTTGGGCGAGAGAAATCCCAGCAAAGTGGGTGAGGGAAAGAGAGGGTGATGCTTATCTTTGAGCCCGGGTGCTTGGGGTAAGAGTGGGCCTCTGGGAGACTCAGAAGGAGCAAAGAAGACACTAGAAGCTGAGAGTGAGAGGACCAGGGACACAAGCTGGGGAAGTCTGTCCGGGCTGGGTATTTCCCCGAGGTCTCTCTGCTCTGGGTTGCCCGCTACTTTGTCCTGTGGGGCCAGGGCTGGGGTCTGCAAACTGTATTGCTCACATCTCTTGTCGGTGGGCTTTCTGCCAACGGGAGGCACTAGGAAGAGCCTGGGGAGGCGGGGGGAGATGCTACCTTCTGTTCCCAGTCCCTATCAGCATCTCTACAGCCACAGCGGATAGCTCCTCCTGCAGCAGCCCCCCCACCCCTTCCCCGCCCGGCCAGTAGCCCCAACCCCACAGGCCCGCCGGAGCTGCTGTTACCCACCACTCCTCCGTACGCCCGCCCTGTCTCAGACATGGCGGCCTCTCTTCCCTGTTATTAGACGTTACTGTTGCCTGGGTCCCTCAGCTGGACCCGCCCCTCTCTCAGCCTTCTAACCCAATTTTGCCATTTCCTCGTATTAGACTTTGAAACATGCATTGTTTCTGTGTTCTGGAACAGACCCTTGGCTGTGTGCAGTGTTGTATTTGTCCATGTATGTATCTTTTTATTTATGTGTAACCAGGTATTTAACAGAAGCACATCCAAATGACCCCAAATCACTAGCACAAGAGAAAGGAAAAAGAAAAGTCACCTGGAAAAGGAAAGGTTAAGAAATTTAGGCTGAGAAAAAAAATTTTCGTCTTTAAACTTCTTCCCTGCTTCTTACTGGGTAGGGAGAAGGAGCCTCAAGAATTTGGCCCCGTTAAATAAAATGAGTTCTAATGCCAAAGTTTCTGCAGAGGCTTTGAGCTGCAAAGGAGAAAAGACCAGGGGGGTTGGTCCTTTGTTCAGCAGGCCATTGTAGGTCAGTTTTAGATTTTCAGAGAGGCCTGAAGCTTCATTGCTCAGGGAACAGAGAGTCTCTTGCTTTGCATTGGCAATCTGCAAGAATTTTGGAGATTCTTTAGAGAGACACCGATTAAGGCGGGAGCGGGGAGGGCCTGAGGACGTGGGCAACCAGCAAATGTCCCAGATGACCAACGAATTTAGAATATCGGTATCTCACATTTGACTAAATTTTAACTACAAAAGTTACATATTGATATAGGGTCACCATACAGTATTCAAGAAATTTAAAACCACATGGAGTAAAAAGAGGAAGAAACCCTCGTTTCCCCTCTTCCACCCCCCTCAAGCAGGCATCCAAGGAGACCCTATTGTGTATATTACCCACTAGCTTTCTTTTTCACTTAACAGTACATCCTTCCAATGGGTAAATAACATTCCTCATTCTGGGTGTCACGACTCATTATAATAATTGTCAGATGGTATGCATTTCTCTTGTTTCCAATTTTGAAAATACCATAAAAAAACGATGCCTTGTGACTTACCTACTTGCACTGGAGCAAGAAATCCAGTGGGAGAGATTCTGTGAAGAGGAATTACTAGCCTCAACGTGGGCACATTTAAAATGCTGACACGGCCAGACTGCCCTAAGCAGGGTTCTGTGAAGCCTCCTGTCAGGGGAGTAGGAGAGCACCTGCTTTTCCACAACTGCACACAGAGCGGAGAGTAGAGATCTTTTAAAATGTTTTCTAGTTTGACTGGGGAATCAGGGCACCTCTTTGTATTTCACGTTCCCTTGATTAACAATGAGGCGGAGTACCTCTCACGCCTTCATTAGCCAATTGCATCTCTTTTGCTATGAATTGCTTTTTTTATAGCCTTTGCTTATTTTTTTTTTTCAATTGGATTGTCCATTTCCCTTACCAGTTTATAGAAATGCTCACATGCATCGTGGCTACGAATCCCTGTGTGTTTCCTATATCTGTGCATAGATGTGGCTTGTGTCCTTACTGGAGGGGCACAGCTGGGAAGATGTGAGCTGCTAGTTTCGGGATGGAGGGACTGTTCACAGAGAAGGCAGCCACGGTAAGGAGAAACAGATGGGAGATGGAAAGAGGGAGTCTGTCTTCAGTCACCTCTGTGGGGTGAGGGCTGTGATGTGTTGAGGGAAATCACATGATTTGGAGATAAACGGATTAAAGTTCATTCCTTACTAACTGCGATTTTGGACAAATTAACTTTTTTGAGGCTCAGTTCCTTGTATTATACAGGGGATTTAATGACATTCACTTTATATAGAATTGTTGTGTGGAATAACTGAGTAAATTCATGTCAAGGACTTGCTTCAGGGTCTGGCCCTCCATGTTTGAGCAACAAACAGTTTATAGTGTGAACCCAATAAAAGGAGACCCATAGGTGCCTTCTGACATTTCAAAGGGCCGTGGACCCAAGCCAATGTTAGCTTACCATATTATTATCCCTTTCTCATAATGTACTGGAAGTCTGTGAAATATTTCTGAATACTCTTTGCTCAGAGTTTGGAGACTGGAACATAGTCCTTAGTGTCAGGCCACCTCCCAGTTTCACTGATTGGCAAATGAGGACTCTGGGGCTGGAGGTGAGGACGGGGCTCACTCAGGGTAGGGAACTGTGCGTGGAGAACCGAAGGGAGAAAGGCAGAAGTTGCCTCCACCATGGCTGGAACAAAGGCACTTCTGACACTGGGAAACTTCATTAATGGAAAGTTTGTACCTTGTAACTCCTATATCGATTCTTATGATCCGTCTACGGGGGATGTGTACTGCAGAGTGCCAAACAGTGGAAAAGAAGAGGTGAGTGGTGTGCCTGGCTGGGGCAGCCCGTTGAGCATCCCTTGGTTTCGCTCAGGTCCTGCTGATCTCAGGGGCGAGGGATCAAGCCCCGCACTGGGCTTGTGCTCCGTGCGGAGTCTGCTTAAAGGCTCTTTCTCCCTTCCCCTCAGTGCCTCCCCTTCTCTCTCTTTCTCTCAAATAAATAAATAAATCTTAAAAAAAAAAAATAGAGAAAAGGTGAGTATATTCACCCAGGGAAGACGGAAATGTACTTCCTGTGTTGATGGATTTCATGTCACTTACTTTTCTAGGAGCAAAGGGAGTTGGGGAAAAGGTGTAGAATTGTTAAACGCTGGCAGGAGGAAGATTTGAGTTCTGGGAAGGTTTGCTTTGTAATGGGACTTTTAGGATGCAGGATTCCCCGGCTATCCAAAGGAGAGCGTTCTTAGGACATCTTTTGAAATGGCCTAAAGTGAAGAGTATCCCCCATTTTCAGAAAGTTCACGTTATGCCACTTTGCATTTGGGAAAGAAATACTAAGTCTGGAAACGGCTTTTTTTCACAGAAGTGAAAATCCTCTTCGTATTTCTTGTGGTTAGCGAAAACAGGTGCTAATATAAAAGTGAAGTCACCTCCTGTGAACTTTCAAAAGGGGATACCTATGCCTGGAACAAAGCCCATGACTTTGTGCAGAAGCAAGCAATTAATCAGGCAACTTAACACACAGCTGCATTTCTCAGCCGTTCCTTATTAGGGGTCTAGTAAAAAGTATTATTTGTTAAGAACAATCAGTGTTTGTTTCTGTTTCCTTTTCTTTACCAAGTGCTGCCTAACTATGCCACTATATTCATGGATTTCTAAAAAAAAAAAAAAAAAAAAAAAACAAACTTGTTACTCCACCAAAACGAGCAAATGTGAAAAACCCAGGGATTTATTTTATATTATCCTCTAAAAATGCCTTATGTCTTTAAAATATCTAGTGAACTAAAACTGATCATTTGAATGATGAAATGCAAAATCAAATTCCCATATATTTTTGCAATGAAATTTAAGACCATCCTTTTTCTTACTTAAAGTGCTTAATGGCACAAACATTAGAATTTTATTTGAGAAGTTCTATAAAATGTTGGAGATATATTTGATTAGTTATCAGTTATTGCATTGACAATGTAAATGTGTCTGGGGTGATGAATGTGGCTGATGTATGTACGCTCATCTAATGCCTAATGGATTTTATTTTTTAAGGCACAAAGAACTAGATTATTTAAAAGATAACTGTAGCCTTCATATACAAATAAGTATACGTAAATAAGCCTTCATATATACTAAGGTATTATTTCTCTTTTGTTAACTATATTTTAAACCTGTCTTGCATTAAAAAAACCTTTAGACTTGTGGACAAAAATTTGCAAACATTGGCTAATCTGTTGGTTAAACTGTAACCCACAATTTTGTTTCAAATGACCTGGGACAGATGTGGGGAAATCCAGCTTTGTGTTATCCAATCCTCCTGGTCTCGAAGTGTTTTCCAAAGTGCAGTAAAAAGTGACAAATATGACAAATTTAGTTGAAATATTTTCTGCGGCTAATGGTTCATGCCTTTTCAGAAGATAGAATTTGGTATGGCTGCATCTGCTAGTAGAGAAATAAATATTTTGGATTTCCCAGCAATTTAAATTGCAAATATGCTCTCTGATCCCGGAAGTCCCAGTTTTTGCTGGCTTGAAAAACATTGTCAACATACAAGCTGCATGCCCAATTTTGCAGAAAGTCTCGTACAGAAAGTGTTGCTGATGCTGCTAACAGGTTTTGCTCTGTGCTCTGTGTTCACTAAGCTGTCTAACACAAATTACCCCCAATGTGAGTCATAGCAACCTACACATAAGACTCTCTCATCATCCTTTTTCCACAGACGACAGTGAGCTAACATTCTCATCTCTGATGCCTAGATCAGTGGCCACACACACACACACATTTGTGGTGGCATTTACATGGTAGCTTTGCAGTCCGTAAGCACAGACTGGAGTCATATCGCCTGTCTTCAAAGACCAGCTGCATCCCTTAGTATCTACTGTCTTGACTTAGAGCTGAACTTCCTTGTGCCTCAGTCTCCTTACCTATAAAATGGGAATAACAGTAATACCTGTCTTCTAGTGTGGTTCTGAGGCTGAAACAGACTAATAGATCTGAAGCCCTTAGTGTTTGGCATATAGTAAAAGCTTTCTAGGTATTAGCTTTTGCTCACATGCATTAATACGTATTCTATATTACACAGACATAAGCCAACTTAGAATGACTGGACTTGAGTTTTCTGCACAGCAAAAAGCTTAGATTTTACATTGACAACCTCAGGAAGATGAGATTTTACTCTGAGCACAGAAGGAAGGAGCCCTCCTCTTGTCTGGCAGCCAGGCCTCAGGGAGGCTGCAACTTTTGGTGGAGAATACTGCAGCCCACGATCCTCCTTCATCCTGTCTGTGGGTCCACAGTAGAGATTCGGCTTTCCAACCGAAAACACCACTTTTCCAGAAATTTATAATTAAGATGAGAATCATTTCATCCTTTATTCAGCTTAGCTGGAGGTGACTCTGTTTATAAAGAAAACAGAGGAGGAGTGTGGATCAGATTTTGGGGGAGAGGTGGCTGAATTATCAAGTCCTGTGATGGCAAGAAAGATGCCCGTGGTTGCCTAAAGCCTGTGGAAAAGGATTCTGAGGGTGGGCCTGGGTGGGGGCGGCAGGGGGAGAAAGCTGTGAGTGATCATAAAGTCTTGTCATGCGTGTGAGAGGGGAGAGGGCTGAGACACAGGCTAGGGATTTGTTATCTCTGGGAAAGATGCTGCTTTGACTTTGCTGAAGATGCGAAGACTCATTTTGTCTTGCAGGAACTGGCTTTGCTTGAACCTTTCCATATATTGTTTCCTTTTGGATTTGCTCCCAAACCAGGTCTGCAAGCTATCTGTTCCGGCACAGATGGCCTCCATCCCCACAGAGGCCTCTGTCACTGGGCAGAGCCAGGCAGGGCGCGGGGACTGTGGCTCTGCCGTAGCAGGCCAGCTGTGGTCTTGGAGCCACAGAAAGCCGGGCTTGAATCCTGATGCTGCCGCTTACTAGCTGCGTGACCTCTGCCGGGTTACTTGACTTCCCCATGCCTCAGTTTCCTCGTCCGCAAAATGGGCACAGCAATAGTCATGGTACAGAATTTTAAAACAGGTTCAATGACATAATTTGTGTGTTTAGTATATTCCTTTATATATAAAAATTAGTCAATGACTATTATGATTAGTCATTCTGAGTGTAAATGACAATCTGAGGATATGATTTCTTTTTTTTTAAGATTTTATTTATTTTTTCATGAGAGACAGAGGGGGAGAGAGAGAGAGAGAGAGAGAAGCAGAGGGAGAAGCAGGCTCCCAAGGAGCAGGGAGCCCAATGCGGGACTCGATCCCAGGACCCCGGGATCATGACTTGAGCCGAAGGCAGACGCTTAACCATCTGAGCCACCCAGGCACCCATGAGGATATGATTTAAAACAAAATTTTAGACTTGGGGCACCTGGGTGGCTCAGTCGTTAAGCGTCTGCCTTCAGCTCGGGTCATGATCCCAGGACCCTGGGATCGAGCCCCGCATCAGGCTCCCTGCTCCGCAGGAAGCCTGCTTCTCCCTCTCCCACTCCCCCTGCTTGTGTTCCTGCTCTCACTCTCTCTCTCTCTCTCTCTTCAAATAAATAAATAAAATCTTAAAAAAAATATAGATTTTATCAGATATGTTGGATTTGGATTAAAAGCTGAGAGATTCTACACATCTACATGAAGTGAGCTCTCAGGCTATTCAAAAAAATTTTTGTATTTTGACATGCTTGAAAATGTGCGTCTATTAAAATTCAAATAGCTTCTTTCTGATGGCTGCATCTGAATACCCTGGTTGAAATGGAGCATTCTTCTTTGTTTCTGTGTGGCCCCTGATTCGCTGATTTTGCAGGTAACTCGGCAGGAGGAAGTATTGAATATTTGAAACCAGTCAGAAAAAAATTAAGTGTGGGTGGACCTGTGGATTCTGGATTCGTCCAACCTTAGGAGCAATAGTCTTTTTTTTTTTTTAAGATTTTATTTATTTGACAGAGAGAGACACAGCGAGAGAGGGAACACAAGCAGGGGGAGCAGGAGAGGGAGAAGCAGGCTTCCCGCCCAGCAGGGAGCCCGATGCGGGGCTTGATCCAGGACCCTGGGATCATGACCTGAGCTGAAAGCAGACTTTCAATGACTGAGCCACCCAGGCACCCCAGGAGCAATAGTCTTAAGGTGACCCTCTTCCTCTTGCTCCTCAAAGATTGACGCCGCGGTGGAGGCAGCCAGAGCAGCCTTCCCGGGCTGGTCGGCCCGGAGCCCGCAGGAGCGCTCGCAGGTGCTGCACCGGCTGGCCGATCTGCTAGAGCAGTCCCTGGAGGAATTGGCGCAGGCGGAATCCAGGGACCAAGGTGAGTGCGGGGCTCAATGCAAAGTGCAGTGGCGGCAAGGCATACCCTCCTTCCCGCTGGTCAGGTGACCTCTTGCAGACCTCTTGCCTCTTAACCACAATGGCTGGGACTCCCGGTACTTCCTCCATATTAGCCCCCAACCAGGGCCCATCAGGCTATACCGCACCTGAGCTTCTCATGGCAGAGGTGGAATTGGAAAGAAAAATCACCCAGGAGGCTTGCATCTGGCCGACTCCCGCCCCTGATGGTCCAAGCAGGTCACAGCTGAGTCCAAGTTCCAGGGGCAAGGACATAAATACACTTTGTCCATTTGGTGGAAGACGCTGCCAAGGTTTTTGGCAAAGGGCGTGGATGTAGGGAGAGAGGAAGAAGAGGGCCGATCGTGCAATTCTCCACCAATTCTAGGCAGATCATTTCAAAGCAAAAGTAACTGAAGAGCCGTTACAGTCACGTTATTTAGAAAGAATCGGATATGTGAGTACTGCACTCCTCACACAATTTCCTAATTTTTATCTCCTTCCAAGAGGCATGGGTAATGGAGTAAATGTCCATAAATCCTTGCAGTAATATCTGTTAGGAAAACCCGAGATCTTTTAAAGTCATATACATGCTATACATCAGCTTAAAGTTAGGAAGCAGCCTGAGTCCAAACCCTTATGAAGATGTTCCCTGTTGGTGCTGCTGACACTGGGAGTCCCCCCTGAATCACCAAAGACAACTAAGGGACAATCCAGAAAAGCTATGTTTCTCCTTTTGTTCAATCCAGGAGCTAGGTAGGGAGTGCATGGGGCACATGGTGAGTAAGCAAGTGCCACACAGCATTAGCGGGGTCCCCTCAGCCGTTCTGCCACGTGCCTATCCTAAGGACTCCATCATGTATTGGGGAGACATTTAATATACATCATCTGTTTGTCAAAGTGGTTTTATTGTATACATTCGTCAAAGTGGATTTATTGTGTCGTGCAGATACAGCTGTCTTAACACCCATTACTCCAACCCCTTTGTAGCATGTACAAAGCTTGGTGATTATGAATTGAAAGAGCTGATGTGAGCAGAGTGGTAGCATCTGGTGGATTCATGATAGCCCTGAATTGTTCAGTCTACAAAGCATAGATTATTTCACTCGCTTTTATCTGATAACGTCACACCTAATTATTTCATGGTTCTATGAAACCACGGATCAGCTGTCTGTGTCGTCAGGGGATGAAGTCTCAGGCTGGAAAGAACCAAGGCTCCGCGAGCGTGAGCTGGGATACATGCGTGATCGTGTCTCCACTGTCCCTGGTGAAGTATGCCGACCGTGCTTTCTCTTGTTGACTTCTTACAGGGAAAACCATAACACTGGCAAGAACCATGGACATTCCCCGGTCTGTGCAGAACTTCCGTTTCTTCGCCTCCTCCATCCTGCACCACACGTCCGAGTGCACGCAGATGGACCACATGGGCTGTCTGCACTACACAGTGCGGGCCCCTGTGGGGATCGGTAGGTGCTGCTCAGGGAAAGCCTGGTCCGCGGGGGTGCGTAGGGATGCTCCCTCAGTTCTGTAGAGCTCATCCAAAGGAACAGATCAAGAGAAAGGAAAGAGCGGACTTCTACTTTAACCGAAAGTTAATGGGCCTCAAAAATCTATTTCTGGTTTATTTTCTTTGTGTTACATTACCTGCTTATTCCTAGAACATTGTTCTCGGGAAATTACCAGGAAAAGAATAATGCTGGGAGGAGATTCACATACGAAGATTCCCCCGCCCCCCACAATGAAAAAAAAAATTATTTCCAGAGAGTCTTGTAGTTAAGAGCATGGATTTTGGATATGTGCAGGGCCACTTTCATAATATTTGTGTGCTTCAGGATTCTAATCTGAAAACCGGGAGCATAGTTTAATTTTATATTTATATATTTTAGTGTGAATTAAATAAATTAGTAAGTGTAGGGAGCTCTGAATTAGAGGCTTCCGCTTTCTTTTGGGGGACATGTAAACATGAGCAATGACTCAAAATACCCACTAGAGGTCACTGTTCCTCCAACCACTAAATACCAGTATTGATTAGTTACATTTTATGACAGGATAAATAGATTAAAAGGAACGAAAATGGAACATATTACCACTTTGGTTATTTGAACCCTTTGGAAATCATATTTTGAAGGAATTAGGAAAAGCTCAAACCTCCCTCTTAGAAGTATGGTGATACATAATGCTGAAAAAATATTGTTATCCTCTAAAGAAACGATTTTCTAACGAGAAATATAATCATATAGAATATATGTTTACTTTCACAGCTAGATTTTAAGGGAGGAGTATAAAATAAGATGAATCCATTTACAAATTCAAAAGGTAGATTTTTTTTTTTTTGGCATGTTTTACGGTTGGAAACCTGGTTGGTTTCAGGATATTGCATGGGGACACATTCTAGTTGCTGGTTCTGTTACTTATTTAGCAATCCTATCTGGTCATGAAATAGGTGAGAATCTAGAGAGAATTTTTTATTAAAAAGTCCTCTGGCTAACCAAAATGGATCTCATAGTCTGCGCATCAAAATTCACTGGCTTCACTAATCGGAAGGCTTCTACAGGACAGACTCAGAGCCCATTTGCTCTTATTTTACCAATAATTCTAAAAAGCTTGAGATTTTATGTCTTAATTCACAACAGGTTAGAAACAGTGATGGAAAAACTTAAAAAAGAAATAGTAGCTAGACAATTTGATGATGAAGAAGGAGAGAGAAGTTTAAAAAAATATGAAGCTCAGTCTATAAATCTCAAAACTCATCACATTTGGAAACTGTTTAGTAACAGGTGACAGCCTCTTGGCCCTGGAGCTTACATTGCCCTTGTTCATAAATACAACTGGTACATCGTCAAGAAAAGAGTAAATTGTATTGATTTATAGTTTTCAAAGGCACAGTTGCTTGTAATACATTTTAGAGTTATTTTCCTGAAGTTGGCTACAAGTAAGCCAAAGCTTTATGCAGGGTGAAGGAGTTCCACATTAATAAACCCAGTTTGGCCAGTCTAGTTTGAGGGGCCTGCCATTGTTGGCAGTGTTTCTGTTCTTCTCTTATAGCCGGTCTGATCAGCCCCTGGAATTTGCCACTCTACTTGCTGACCTGGAAGGTGGCACCGGCCATTGCTGCTGGCAATACTGTGATAGCCAAGCCCAGCGAGCTGACGTCGGTGACTGCGTGGATGATGTGCAAACTCCTGGAGAGAGCAGGTAATAAGCGGTGGGTCTGGAGAGGCACAGGATTGGCTTTGGGGTTGCACATTTTGTGGGCTTCAGCCACCTCAGTGTCCTGACATTTGAGAAGTTGCTTTGGATAGAAATCTGCTCAGAGCAAAATTGATTCAGTCGACATCTTTGGTTTTCCTCTCTCTGATTCTTTTCTGAGAAATCCCCTTCATGCACAGGGCTGGATCACACTGCTTCCTCTCTTCACCCCTGTCTGTGCCACTGCAGGAATGGTTCCCCCGGGCAGGGGGGTTGGCAGGCAGTGATGTCATTGCACAACTGTGAAGTGACAGCAGGCTTAAAGAACTCAGTCAACTCAGATACCAGCCTGCTCCAGGAATTGTCTTCAGTGGTCAATTTAAATCTTATATTTGAACCACATGTTAATCTTGATGCAAATAAGACTACTGTTAGGGACTTCTCTGGTTTGTATGGTTATATGATACCTGTTAGAAATAGCCATTTTCAAGAGATTTGAATATACCTCCCTCAGTTTTCCCCGCATTTGGAGCCACTGTGTGGAAGCTGATACAATATGGCTCCACGTCCTCTTTATGTCAACAGTGTCATGGCCACATTCAAGGTATGTTCCTGGGTACGTTCTGAGGTATAACTCAGCATAGGCACAGACACCACACCAGGGTTGGAGGGTGTCAGGGGACCCTAACTTGCAACCCACAAGAAAGCCCCTTCCTATTAGGTCCCTCAGCTCAGGTCTCCATACACAACCTGGATTGGAATGATGGGTGGCTGTCTTTCTGTCTGTCAGTCTCTGCTGTTTGTACTTCCTTCAAGCCCACAGAAAAGGTAGCACTGGGCTCACCCAATCCATAAAGTAGGCAGTTGGAAAGAACCCATATCTCCCTCTTCTGGATACCTTCTCTCTCCAAGCAGAAACATACATATTGGCTTCCAAGAAAGTTGGGCCAGTTCTTTACTCTAGGATTTAGATGGCAGGTTGAACTGTGTGGCCTTATGACCCTAGTCTAGCTTCCCATTTCCCTTGTACTGTACAGAGGAATGAGGTGTCCCAGCTTCAGCCTTTGGGGTGACATTTATGGATGCCCTAGGCTTCTGGAGGGTTATGATAGAAATGTGCCTACCTCTCCCATGTCCCACAGGTGTCATTCCTTCTTTACGTGAGGGATCACATTCTAATGCCATTCTTTGCAAAATTAAGTGCCTAGTGTCTACAGAGGTACAAGGCCTTTCCTCCCTGTCTGTTGACTATAGATTCTCTGGAGTGGACAGAAGTGGGGCCGATGCTCTGCTGTGATCTATGTTGGGGAGGGCAGCCATGTGGGTGGGGTGGTGCCACAGAGCTGTGTTCCCAGAACCACTCTCTCTTGAAGTCAACCACACCTTGATCTATGATGATTTCTCTTCCCTAAGCACTCTCCCCTTCCATACACCCAGCACCTGGTCTACACAAGAGTTTTACATTTCCATGTATTTACACAGCATTGATCTTATTTCTTGTGAATGAATAAGCTTATTATGCCAAGACAGTTCTTCCCTCCTTCCCTGCCTCTGCTGGCTTTGCTAAACTTTCTTCCTCTGGCCACCACGGAGAGTGTAAGGCTCAAATTGCACCTGTCTTAAGCCCTCAGTTTCTCCATTTGGATTGAGAATCTGTACGAGACATGTTTAATATTGTGTAAGAAAAAGAAAGCTAACGTGACCTGCTGGTGCATTCTGGATATTTAAAGAGCCAATCCTTGAGTCCTGAGCATTCAAACAGACTTGACAGATGACCTTTCTGTGCAGTAAAATCATTTAAAAAAGTATACAGTGAGTACCTCTTTTATAATTCTAGAATATTCATTTCTTCTTGGGGGCACCATATGTATGCCTCATTCCTGGAGTGTCCACTGAAAGCAGATTTCTGGCCCTTCCTAGTTTTGTTTTGCCCAGTGGAAGCTTGTTGCCACTCTGCCACATCCTTGTCCCTGGTGAAGGGACTTTATGCCCTGTGATGTCTGTTAGCCATTTACTCTGAGTTTTACCAAATTGTTATTTGCCAATGTACATTGTGCCTTCTTTCTCTCATAACTGGCATATCTGAAGGGCAGAGGGCAGTTGTCTCTAGAAAAATTTCGTTACTGTCTTGATCAAATGGCAAAGTGGTGCTGAGAAATAATGGCCAGTAGGTAGCTCTTAACATATTAACACCAAAGTTCAAGGAAATATAAAGCGTTAATGCCATTGTGTAGAAGGCAATTGGCCTGCTGAAATGAACTCATTTTCCCGGGGTGATACCTATGTGGTGTTTCTAAGTTTTCTTCACTCTTTGTTAAAATGCTGTTGTATACATTAGAAGTGATTTGATCCATTTTTGCCTTTAGGATTTATAAAGCCCAAGAGTCCACCTTTTCTTGCCCCCAAACCCCAATCAGAAAATATCCAGCAAATATTCACATGCCCACTCTCTGATGGAGACGCAGGAGCCCAGCCTGCAAATGGTGGGAAACTTGTCCTTGTTTCTCTGCCATCGACCACAATGAGGGCCCCTCTCCTGAGCCTCCTCTTTGCCCCAACGCAGGGCTCAGCTGCTCTCACATGGTGCCTGGCCTTGGACCTCCCCTCCATGGCAGTGACCTGTGATCCAGGACCGACCCAAGCTAGATTTTAAGAAGTGTGCACATGTGTGTAAAGGCGGGGCCATTGGAGGTGAAGCTCTGCCAGATACCACCATGAGTCACTGATCTCCACACCTGTCTCCAAGGCTCAGCTGAAGGGGGCCTTGTTTGTCCCCTCAAGTGATCAGGCTAAGGTTCTGGCTCGATGGGAAGGTGTTCTGGATGATAATGGATCATCGGTGAGAACTTGTTATTTATACTTGAAAAGCATATTCTGGAAGAGATGGTTTTAATCCAACAGAGTATGTTTCTATTCAGGACAGAATGTCCAACCTGGACAGGGAAAGATAGTGGGAGCAGGGAAAGTAGTTCAAAAACCTTACATGTTGGAGGTTTTCTGCATTTGCTGTACTTTGAGGCTGCAGAAATATGGGGAATAAACTCAGCTAACCTCCAGACAAACCCCAAGAGCTTCCCGGACACAACACAATGGCACACAGATTTTCTTTCTGGACACGTAAAGCTTTCCAGAGTCAAGGACCATTTCTGATTTGGATAATGTACAAGAAACCTTCATTCATTCATTCACTTAATTATTTGTTAACCATCTACACCAGGTTTTGCCTCCTAGTGGCTGCTATTTGACTTCACTTTGCCTCAGTTTGGATAAGGTGAGGATATTAATCCTACCTACCTCATCCAGTTGCTGGGAGATCTAAATTGCTTCCAGGAATGATTGGCCTACAGTGAATGTGAGCATTGACTGGTATTAATCTATCTGGCAAACTAGGGCCAAGGCACAGGGGGGGCTGTGAAGAGCAGAACACAGACACCATTTTTGCCCTTAGATCGTGCACCTGCCAGTTTTGGCTAGGCAATAAACAAGTAAAGCCATAAACACATAAAAAAATACACGCAAACGTAGGGCAGTAGGGTCTCATGCTAGAAAGATGGGGGCACCTGTTTTAGGGTGTACTTGGCACTTTAAGTCAGTCCTAGAGTGTATGTCCACATTATGGGACACAGGGACCTTTAACTCAATGCTCACCTTCCTGGAGGAGCCCTCCCTCCCTTCCCTGGGCCCAGACAATTTCTTCTTCCCTCCACTTCACATTTTCACACTGAATTGTGACTCCTGAATGCCAACTTGGAGCAGGGCTCTCCTACCTTACAGGGCTTAACTTGCCTGAGGATATCTCTATGCTCTCAGCCTCTGATGCCTAGTTAATATTATGGAATGAATTAATTAGAATGTTCCACTCTTCATTTTTCTAAGCCAAAGCACCTGAAGAAATCCCACCTCGGGTGCACTGGAGGTGGAGGTGGTGCTATAGTCTTTGTTATTAAACTAGAGACAGCCATAAAAGTCTACTCCCCCTCCCCATTCAAGCTACTGCACTTTCAAGGAGAACCTCAATGTCACCCGAAGTTCTCAACATACTGAGAAGAATTACTGTTGTAATTTCTGTTACTGTTTCTGTATCCTATCTGGATACAGACCTGGAGACTGTTCTGTTTCCTGTCCAGGTGTCCCACCAGGTGTGGTAAATATTGTGTTTGGGACGGGGCCCAGGGTCGGCGAGGCCCTGGTGTCCCATCCAGAGGTACCCCTCATTTCCTTCACGGGGAGCCAGCCCACAGCTGAGCGGATCACACAGCTGAGTGCTCCCCACTGCAAGAAGCTGTCCCTGGAGCTGGGGGGCAAGAACCCTGCTATCATCTTTGAGGACGCCAACCTGGAGGAGTGCATTCCAACGACTGTCAAGTCCAGCTTCGCCAACCAGGTGTGTCCTCTGTATTGGTTTGGTTTGTTTTGAGTTTGTTTGTTTGTTTTTAAACTCTGTGACCCAGTTAGGCTGGATCTGTTTCATTAAAGTGCCAAGCCAGGAGTGAGTGGGTTAATCTGTTTCCCTCTTTTCCCTATTTCAGGGAAAGGAGATTGTGACATTGTGTTAGTCCACTGACTCTGTTTTGTCTCAGTGTCCACCTGTGGTTCTTGTAGAATCATAGCTTCTGTTGGGCAAGCTCCAGTTCTTGAGCTTTATCAGGTACCAGCCATGGGCAAAATGATTGATTGTTTGCTTCTCCAAGCTTTTTCGTCCCTTTATTCATAGAGTCACCCCCATTCTCTTCTTGCTGTCTAAATGTCTTATCTCCAGTAAACCTTGTGCTCCCCCAAAAACATCCCAAATGCAGCACACAGTTAGAAATAAATGCCTAAACCAGTCTAGAGGACGTTTCTGATGTTGGAGTCATGGATGTCATAGAGTCACAGGCAACTTCGCATCTCCCGAAATTATGTGACAGATGTTTTTTCTGGAGGCCGCAGTTCTCAGCAGATTCTTCGAGGTCATGGTATCCCAAAGGGTTAGGAACACTGACCCAGGTAGACCAAACTGTAAGCCTCACAAAAAGGGCACCTGTGTCTGCTTTGGGGCCGCATTTGACCTTCAATGCCCAGGATGAGGCTTAGGGTAGGTAGAGCAGGTGTGCACAAATACTGAAGGATTTTCTCCAAAGGGTCTGCTTTTTAAAAATTTTAGCAGCGAACAAAGAATTAACTAAAGAGTTAGAACCACCATAGAAAGAAAGATGAGTGAAATGAGATATATATTTAACTTGCCCAAGTTGCCATAACCTTTTGCACCTTCATTTCTTTACCTGTGAAATCATGAAAGTAATAATGATGCTTTCCATTAACGATTTTGTGAGTTGTAGAATGAAAACCATTCTTGACAGTGGTTATTTTTGTGATCATTATAATTTTAATTATTTCTCTCACAGTAATTCTTAAGAGAAAGTGGCTTTGTTCTGTATCTCTCTATATACCTCTATATACAGGTACATCTGTATCTAGAGAGAGAGCTTTTCTGGATCAATAGACTTAAATTTTAGATTTTAGAAAATAGATTTATAATTTTATGATACAGCTATTTTAATCACTAAAATAAACACGTATCAAGTATCAAAATGAACAATTAAATCAAGCATTTGGGTGGCTTATAGTGACAACATGGGGAGTGGGGACAAGCTGTGCACTGAGAATCAGCTGAGAGGAATCAGGTGAACTTTGCATGAAAGAAAATGCACTGTGAGCGTGGAGATGGCCTGTAGCTTCTTGGCTACCAGGACTGTGCCAGGACTTGAAATTGCTGAGAGAACCTTCCTCTTGGGGGTATTTTGAATGTCAGTGGGGAAGAGGACTGGAACCCAACTAGCTAATTCAAGACAACAAGCAGATTTTAGGCAAACTAGAGGGGCTCATTTCTTTTTCCTTAACCGAGAGATGAGTCCCATGTAGTGAACACGTCTTCCTCAGTTGAACATAATGGGCCACTTTGAAACATCTCTGTCACACGTAGTCTCCTTTGGCTGGGGGCACACTCACACTTCAACACGCTGTGGGACACAGAAGAAATGAATGTGGACTTCCACATCACTCAGACTGAAGTTGAAACTTCCTGTGTCTGGTGGCCTTGGGCTTGTGTTTGTTCAAAGCTCCATTTCCTAATTGTAAGCTGGGAAAACTACTGGACCACAGAATTATCATGAGAAAAGCACCCTGCACGGTGCCTGACACGCAATAAATAATTTCCCTTTTCTCATTTCCTTGAAAGTCATGCCACTAGAGATCCTAGCATTACCTATGCTTTCCTGGCACCAAGTAAGCCGGAAAAACCTGACTGGGTAACCCCTCAACTCTCTTTACCACACCCTCCCTTCCCACATGGCAGAGGGCACTTGTGTCTGGAGATTTCCCAAGCTAGATATGCAGATGGTTCTTACAGTGATCCTGGGTTGCAGAGAGAATTTTTTGTTTCAAAACAATGATGATTTAATTTGGACAATACACCTTTGCCCAACTGTCAAAATAATTAGAAATATTCCATCCTTAGGATGGTTGTGAAGATAAATATACATGTGGTGAAAATTGTTATTTACACAGATATATATACTTACCATACATACATAATGCTTTGAGATGTCTAGACTGTGGTTTGTAAATGATCGCATGCTATTTTCAAACAATAGTAAGGATCATTTTTCATTCAGGCTCCTGTTAGCACCTCTGCTCAAAACCTAAAGTATCTCTATTCGGATGTCTGTTAGGCATCTGAAACTTAACCTGTGCAAAGCAGAACTGTTGATTTCCCTCCCTCTCCTTTCCCTGCAATACCACTCCTCTCCCTTGGGCTTGCTTTTCGGGGATAGAACATTACCATCTGCTCTGCATCTCCAACAAAAACTTGGGACTCAACCTTGTTCTTACCCCCCAGCCTTCTGTCTCACTAATCCATCAACCCATCTTGTTGCCTCCATTATTCTAATATATCCTGGAATCCCTCACTTCTGAGAGCATTGATACCAGTTTTCTTGCACCTTGGGCTCCCAAGTCCCTTTACGAATCTGGTGACGTTGGTGGACACCTATCACTTTGCTCATCTCCGCTGTTCCCGCCCTGGTCCAAGCTACCTCCACTTACCTGGACTTCTGGAATACTCTCTGAACTCTACTCTCGTAGATCCCACTCTCGTTCCCTTCCATTCTATTCTCCACACAGCTGCTGGAACGATCATTTAACAATGGAAATCTCATCATACCATGCTGCAGCTTAAAGCCTTCCGCGCTCTTTTCATGATACCGGGAGCAAGATGCAAACTCCTTTGTGAGCCTGTGGGACTCCGCGTGGTGTGGCCTTGCTCCTCACCTCCTGCCCTCCTTTCCTATCCTTCCTTCCCCTCATTCTGTCTTCACTCCCGGGCTCAGCCCTGCTCGCCTTCTTGCCTTGCCTCACACACTACACCACTGCAAGCACGCTCCCGTCGCAAGAAGCCGCTCTACCCCGCCTGCTGAGCATCGCCTTCCTCCGCGTTGCCTGGAGCTCAGCTAGGCCCTCCCCATCAATCGAGTGTCAATTCAAATACCTCCTCTTCACAAGGGCCTTCCAGAACTCCCTCTACTAAAAGGGACTAAAAGTGGCACTTTTCCATTGATTTCTATTCCCATCCTCTGCTTAATTTTCTTGTATCGTTTTGCTCATGACCTGAAATTATATTGATTGAACACATCTACTTGTGCTGTTGTCTGACTTCCCCACAAGAATGTGTGTTCCCTGTGGTGGGACTTTGTTTTGTTGATCAGTGTTTCCCATGGCTGAGACCTGTACTACGGGCAGGTAGGTGCTCAGAAATGCAGGCTGACCTGCCCATGAAGGAGTGTGTCTTGTCGTCCTCATGTGTCATTCTTGACAGGGTGAAATCTGCCTCTGTACCAGCAGAATCTTTGTCCAGAAGAGCATCTATAGTGAATTTTTGGAGAAGTTTGTAGAAGCTACCAGAATGTGGAAAGTTGGCATTCCTTCTGATCCGTCAGCCAGCATGGGAGCTCTGATAAGTAAAGCTCATTTGGAGAAAGTAAGTAAATCTCCGTGATGGAAGTTTGGGGAGAAGCTCAGTGTAGGGCATAGCACATAGTCATGCTTTGAAATGTTGTTAATTACCACCCTACTCTTAAAAAAATTCTGACCTGTAGGAAATGACCTCTGGATACAGAGTCTACAAATGTTAGATATGAATACACAAATGTAATCCAGGTTAAAGCAGCATCTACATGGAATGAATGAATTTGAGAAGTCAGCATGGAGATCCCATCAAGAGTGAGGAAGACAAATTTCAAAACATAAGGGTCAGCTGATAAGAGTGATGTGGACTAAGGGTGGCAGGAATTTCCATTGATAAAAGTTCCCAGTGGAGGGCGCCTGGGTGGCTCAGTTGGTAAAGCGACTGCCTTCGGCTCAGGTCATGATCCTGGAGTCCCGGGATCGAGTCCCACATCGGGCTCCCTGCTTAGCAGGGAGTCTGCTTCTCCCACTGACCCTCCCCCCTCTCATGCTCTCTATCTCATTCTCTCTCTTAAATAAATAAATAAAATCTTAAAAAAAAAAAAAGTTCCCAGTGGAAAGGGTTCTGCCTGTGGCTTACAGCAAATGGAATTCTGGATGTGCCAACAGGCATGATCCAGATTATGTGGTCCTTAGTGGGTAGGGTTAGTGGTGGTCTCTGTGGGAGAAGCCATTGGTGGCCTCTGGCTGGTTTGTGGAATTTAGGCCTTTAAGGTCATCTTAATGTATTACCTGATGTGACTCCTAAGATAAGTCATAGAATGTTGGAGCTGGAGGACCTTGTTTTTAGCGGTGGTAACTGAGACCCACCATGGAAAATCTGCCCCCATCAGTTGGCCAGTGAGGGACAGAGGCTTTACTTAAGTTTGTAGAAATCTTTGACACTGCACAGATTTGGGAGATTTACTATATTTTAACTTTAACAGTTTTTTGGGGGTCTATTTATTCTGTTTTCTCAGTGAACTAGGAAGCAGGATGAGGAGGGGAGAAGGTGCAGAGGGTTCAATAGGGAGGAGAGGGTGTGAAACACTCCTGCAGGCGTGTACAAAAGCCAAGAATCCTGAGTGCCTGGTGCCTCAGTTGGTTAAGTGACTGCCTTCAGCCCAGGTCATGATCCTGCGGTCCTGGGATCGAGTCCTGTGTCTGGGCTCCCTGCTCAGCGGGGAGTCTGCTTCTCCTTTTGACCTTCCCCCCTCTCATGCTCCCTCTCTCTCAAATAAATAAAATCTTAAAAAAAAAAAAAGCCAAGAATCCTAATAGATCTAAACCACAAATGATATTTGATTTTTTTTTTAAGACTTGAAACATTGACAAGGTTTTAGGCCCGGTGTCAACCTCTCCCTCACGTATCTTAGCCCAGAGATGCCATCTTTTATGAAACCAAATTACGCTGAAAAGACAAGCGTTTATTTAACATGTTGGTTGGATTTTGTTTGCTTACTGTCATTTCAATGTAGTATACTTAGGTGCCATGAATAACTCTGAAAATGGTGACGCTTACAGTTAGCAGGTTTTTTTTCTGACCATATTCAAACATAATCCCAGATTTATCTTTCAAACAGAAGTTTTTAAAACTCCCATGTATTTTTACCATCATATGTTTTCCATCTCGGTCAAATAACTAAGAATAGAAGTAAACTTTCTATTTTGGAATAACTTAAGATTTATAGAAAAATCTCAGAGATAAGGCAGAGACTTTCTATATCCACTCACACAGCTTTCCCTTTTACTAACATCTTCCATGTCCACAATACAATTGTCCACACTAAGAAACCAACGGTAGCACCTGACTATGAGCCAAACTGCAGACTTTTCAATCAACTTCTCTTGACTTTCTTCTTGATCATTATAGAAAATAATTTTTCAGCCACTTGCTTATTAAAATAAAGTACAATTAATTACTCTGTACTCATCTCAGAAATCTCCATGGCTCTACTGCTTTTAAAGAGAAAGATTTTGTACACACAGTTAAAATTTTCAAAATAGTTTATCATTCGCCAATGTATTTCCTTTTTCTAGGGAAGAACACTAAAGATGTATTCGCATTACCCCACCACATGTAAACGTGCTGCGGTCCATGCAGCTCTCTCGTTTTGTGGTCCTACTGACTGGATCTCTCCCCGCTAGAGTAGAGTGCCCGTCAGGTGGGCGTACATTGCCTCCCCCAGGTGAAGCCCCAGGGCTGTCCTGCTGAGGCTCCGAGGGTTCCTCGACATCTGCCATCCTCACTGCTCCACCCTGAGCACGAGTGCCCAGATGCAGGGAGTCACAGCTTCCCCCTCTGAGTCTCCCACCAAGTGGACCCACGATGGGGGGCTTGCAGATCCATTCTTGTGGGGAGGCCCTGGGTATCTCGGCGCTTGAGAAAGAGAGAGCTAATGGAAGCCTAGTAGGGCCCTGTAAGTGTGGCCTTTCCAGGGGGACTCTTTTCAGTTCGGTGTGATGCTTCGGAGATCAAGGAGGGAGTGGACACGTCCCACCGGTAGTCATCTTTCCTCGCCTCTCCCCAGAAAAGCTGTGGGGGCTGTGTCCAAGGGAGGCCTGGTGGCCATCGCTGTATTCCACTTGTCCTCTGCAGTTTGTCTGGGTCTTCTTTGAAGTAAACTAGCCCTGCAGAGTCTGGGGTCTTTGTGTCCATCTTACTTCTGCGTGGTGGTCATGACAGATGGTGAGGCAGAGCCAGAAGAGTCCAGTTAGAATATGCAGAAGCTGTTCCGTCACGGCAGAGGGCTCAGAACCTCACAGAGACGCAGCTTGCTCCTGCGTGGGTGAGAGACGCGCCTGCCTCCCAGTGATACAGGTGACTCTGTCCTCAAGGAGTGAAGAAAAGGCTCTCTGCCTGTTTCACAGGTTGCTTTTTGTTTTTGCTTTAGTTTTTCTTTTTACCGCCTCGAATGCTTTTCCACGTGACTGTCTAGAGCCTCGGGCTAGATGCCAGCCTGCCCCAAGATGCAGGAAATCGGAGATGGGATTCTGAGTGTTTACAGTGAGGCTGGCAGAGCGCAGGGCACGTTCATGGGTGCATTCCCCAATGGGGCAGGCTGCAGGCTGTTAGCAAAGGTCCACTTCTGCAGGTTGCTATCTTCTTTTGTCGGGTGGGCTCGTCTTTGAAGTCTCCCCGCTCGGAAGCGTCAGATGGTGTGTTATACCATCACCTTCTTCATCAACAGCACCAGTTAGTGACTGGCATTCAAAAGACTTACTGCAAGCCAGGCATTATGCTAAATATTTTACATACATTTTATCTAAGCTTGTGAATAGGTGGGAATGTTAATCCCATTTTTCAGAGGGGAAACTGAGCATCGAAAATCCCTCAGTGAGCAAGTGGAGGCTCTTGAGATTTGAACACTTGGGCTCCCCCGCCCGCTCATCTGACCTCTGTGCTCAGATTTTATGGGCAAAGCTCCGAAGTACTAACTGCTCTCTGCTCTCAGAAAAAGTTTTGTAGTAATAATTTATTACATTTTATGGCATATTACCAGTCACAACATTTTCTTTTTTCCATATTTTCCTGAAAATCTCAGTTCCTGAGCTGCTAGTATAGATATCATTCTATCATCCAGAAAATATATTTAGTTTAGTGTGAGTCAGCTTACGTATTAAAAATTTTGAAAAGTTCACAGTTTGAAAACTGATACTTTCCTTCATATTTTATTATCCAAGAGTCTCTAAGAGATAATCATGAGATTCCATATAGACGAGATAATCTAAAGCCACTCCATGTTTGAATCATGGAAAAAAGTTCTGGTCCTGTGTTCAGCAGGCGCCCCTGGAGATCTCTGCCTCGACTTCCCCTGTTCACGCGCTATGCTGCCTTTGGCATCTTTTAATTAATCTGAGTGGATTGTTTCAAGAGGAGTAAGAGAATAGGGGAAAGAGAAGTCCAGACCTAATTTAGTCTCTACCCACAAACTAGACAAGGGCTTTTCTGGGAAAACTTTGAGATCATTGGTCATGTTGGGGGAAAATGTATAACAGAGCAGAATACGAACCTGTTCCAAATAATATATTTTTTAGAAGTCTTTGACTTCATGGCTTATTAAGTGTTCTATAAACTAGAGCAGAATCAATGATAAAACAACATTACTTTTTTATTTTTACATGGCAAACACATAGCTCTACATTGAATATAGTTCTACAATGGAGAACTTATCTAATCCTGGGGCAGAATGCTCAGATAAATATTTGATAAGTAGGGAGCCAAAGTATGACTTCAAAATTTACCCTGCCTTTGATGTACTGCTTAACTGTTGTTCTATACTTTTAATTTTGGGGATGACTTTTCTACTTTTCCTATACTTATAATACCCCTGAGGGGTAGGATAATGTATCATTGTGACTGCAATGAAATTTCCATATATAAACGTACATATCATTTTATAATAGGTCATTTCTACAACCATGGTTAATAAACATCTGTCACTGTCTCTGAGTTATTGGGTTTACTTATTACATAATTTATTTCCCATTATAGTTAGCTATTCTATATTAACTGGACATATTTTCAGAACATAATCAGTAATGATACTAGAAGTTAGAAATGATTTGTTCTGGAAGCCTAGCTATTGAAGGGCATCTTGGCCTTTCATGAAATCTTATGCACCATTCAACTTCCCATGTTCTGCAATGGACAGAGTCCCCCCAAAAGTGAGAAACTATTCTTTTGTGTATTTAACTACTGAATATACCTGAGTGTGAATTCTAGCTTTCCTGTTTATTCATTGTGTGAACCATCTACCCTTTCTGAGGCTCAATTTTATCATCAGCAAATAGGGGATAATAATACATAGCTAATAGAGTTCTGAGAGAATTAAATGAGAATGTATGAAAAGCATTTATCTACGTGCCTGGAACTTAGATAGTAAAGAAATTACTCTCCTCTTCCGTATGAGGGCTGGATGCCCAAATGATGGTCAGAGCACTTCTGCCCTCAGGCTTAGCAGCTGAGCAATAAGATAATCAACTTTAGATTTCTTAGCAATGGCCTTCTACATATTTCCTAGATGATTAAAAAATATTGAATTTTCTGCTGCTTTGTGTCAATCCAAATGGTAAGATGTTGCTAATCCTGGTTTTCACCCACCCAGGTCAGAAGTTACATCAAAAAAGCCCAGATGGAAGGGGCCCAGATTCTGTGTGGTGAGGGGGTGGACACATTGAACCTCCCCCGCAGGAATCAAGCAGGATACTTTATGCTTCCCACAGTGATAACAGACATTAAGGATGAATCTTGCTGCATGAAGGAAGAGATATTTGGGCCAGTGACATGTGTTGTCCCCTTCGATAGTGAAGAGGAAGTGATTCAAAGAGCCAACAGCGTTAAATACGGACTGGCAGCCACAGTGTGGTCCAGCAACGTGGGCCGTATCCACCGGGTGGCTAAGAAGTTGCAGTCAGGCTTGGTCTGGACCAACTGCTGGCTCATCAGAGAGCTCAACCTGCCTTTTGGGGGGATGAAGAGTTCTGGGGTAGGTCGAGAAGGAGCCAAGGACTCTTACGAATTTTTCACGGAAATCAAAACCATCACCATTAAACACTGACCTTGGCCGGTGGAGAAGCTGTTATGGTCCATTCCTGGCTGCAGAGGATCAGTCGTCCAATGCAGTGAGCAGATGTGCCGGCATAAAATCCAGCCATATCTTGGCTCCACGGGTTTTCTCTACCCTATCCTCAGTAGTCTGTACTTTTATTCGTTGTCAGAGAGGATGTCTGTTTTCACTGTGAAGTCAAAGAAGAGACTTCTGAGCAGGAAGTCACAAAAAGGAAGCCAAATAATCATCAGGTTCCTTCTCTGTTGTGTCTTTGCTCTAGTTTTTTTCATCGTTTTGATCGAATTCTTGGAAATTTACAGATAATAATTTTTTTCATTTTTAAGTATATATATATATATATATGGTAGGTCCCACTAAATAAATCTGTCCGAGGACAAAGAAAATTAAAACTATGACTACTTTTGGAGGAAACTTGAAGCAAGAAGAGGAAATAGTTTGATCCCTTTCGACTCTGGAGTCTAATCAATTCCAATTCTTCGCGTCTGTCTCTCATGAGGCTTACGACCCACTAATCCTAAAAGAATAGATGTTAGGCAGTTTCGGTAGCCAGTATGACCTACGTCTTCTTCTTGAATTATCCTTTATTGCTCTTTATCCCTATCCTCTTAGGGGTATGGACTTTATGCAAAGTAATAAAGGTGTTTCTCATGGCTTTTTTCTGGATCCCCTAATGATCAGAGGAGAAAACCAAGGTTTACAGAGATTAAAGTAGCATGCTCAAGGTCACATGAATGGTATGGGGCAGAGGAAGGATTTGAACCCAGGGCTGGCTCTCAGTCTCCAAAACCACGATCTCTGACTACCTCACACTTGCCTTGGGTTCATGCTCCAGAAGTAGCCACATACTTTTGGTTCGTGGAACACATCGTGTTGGGTCTCCTCTCCATATCTCCTCCCTCCCTCTCCCCTTCTCCCCCTCTCCCCTGTCCCGCTCATCCATGTAAGCCAGGAACTCTTCGGGCACAGCCCTTCCTACACAAACTGAAACCATCTGTCTGCATGGCTGACTGCCCAGCTGGACAGGAATTGCCTGAAGGCCCAGGCAGGTGCTAATTCCCCCCGAAGTCTCCATTCCCAGCACAGTGCCTGGCACACAGAAGGTGCGCAAAACAATTTCCAGGAACGGAATGAGGTCTTCCCGGTGCTCTGGGGTTATTTGTAGCATGGTGTATGGGGAGAGGGGTTAGGTCAGAAGGGGGACAAAATAGTCTTCACCGTTTGTGTAGGTTTTCGGATATGTTGGCTTGTTCACAAATGCTGAAAAACATAAGCCCTTTTGAGGTCAAGCACTGGTATTGGATCATATCTGGTTCTTAGCTTCTCCGTCCCCTCCCCTCTCCTTTTCTCACCTGCCCTGTTCTCCAGCTCAGGCCCGGGAGTCTTCATTAGTTAAATCTAGGATCAATTCCTAGAGTCAGTAGGAGGAATTTGAGCAGCTCCTAGTCTCTAAGAACCCACATCTTTGTTCTTGTACCTGGTCTAGCCCAAGCTCATCCTTATTTCTGAGACCTAAGCCACGTCTTGATTCCACATTCTGCTGACTGAAGGTCTTTGCTCCCTGTGCCTCAATACCCCCCTCGCGCCCACCCCCCCTTGTGTTCTGCCTCCAAGACTGTTCTCTAGGACATGGAGCTGGCCCTGCTCCTGTCCCTTCTTGTCTGGGCTCTGGATCCTGTCTTGTGGAGGAGACTGCTTCCTGCTGACAGACAGACATTCTGGATGCCATTTCCCTCGTATGTGCCTCTTTGGATCTTCAGAAGCTTCTCCCGGGCTCATGAGGCAGTCTCATTAACGCGTGTTTGAGCAGATGCTGTTCTTCATCACGCCAACACCGGCCCAGTTCTCAGTTGTGAACACCAGTGCCTTTGATGTCTTAGCACCCCACGGGGCCTTTTTTCGTTTGTTCTAGTCTACCCGGGAGGGGGGGGGGGTTAGTTCCAAGACCTTCCCCTCCCAGGCCGTCCCACACGGTCTCAGGCCCCACGTCAGCTTAGGGTGCCCTGTGGGTCTGTGCCGGCGCGATGACAGAGTCCGGCAGTGGAGCGCCTTGGTGGCTGCCAGGCCCTGCGTCCCTGGCCTGCCGGACCCAGGGCTGCTCAGGAAAACACTCAGAGGGGATGCACGACGGCTTCAATCATATCTGTTGAGTTTTATTTCTGAGCTGGGTGATGGGTGCTCGGGTCTTTGCTATAGTCTTTCACGCGTAGGAGCTACATGCCAAAATGGGAAAGTGCATCGCAGGGACGGACAGCCTGGGGCCTGCGCGGAGGAAGCTGAGCGCGTGTAGAGCCCCTCCTCCTGGCCGCGCCGCGGGGGTGCCGGCTCCGAGGTGGCCCCGAGCGAGAGCCGGCGCTGAGGGGGCGGAGACTTCGGGGACTTCGGGGAGCCGACCTTCGGAATGTGCCTAGCGGTGCTGCGCGGTCCGCGAGGTCTCTGGTTCACATGCAGATTGAGACCCAGTAGGTCTGGGTGGGCCTGCTTGTACTTGGAGTGTCAAGGAATTAGAGGACCCTCACTTGCAGCTCGGAGGAGGTAGAAGGAAGGGCAGCTTCGCCCAGGAGAGACATCCCCTAAAGCATTTCCCTGCTCAGGTAAAGAAAGTCGTCCTTCCATCGCTCCCTGGGCGGGTGCGCACTGAGCCGTCCACGCAGCCTCAAAAGAAGCCAGTGTCTGTCCCGCCCACACGGAAATGTAGGGTTAGCCCCCCATCCAGGGAGGGGTGGTACAGGGAAACTGCTCTTCCAAACCACAAAAAATAACTTTGCCGACTACCTATAATAATCAACCAGTACGCTTTTTATTCAACATTATTACTGGTCAGTCAAGGATCATGAACAATTTGGTGAAAGAGCAACTCACCCGGGAGAAAGATAAAAGAAGATGTTGAACGTTGAATTCGTTTCAAGAGATTTGAGCGCCCAGCACGTTAGTCACCACAGCGCGCGGCTATGCAGAAGGAGGGAGCCAGGGGCATGAGAGAGGCCTTGAAAATTAAACATTGGCTCCCCACATAAAATGAAAAATCAAAAGAATTGAATCATGGGTTTGGCTGACAGCTAACGTACTAATCTGGAAGGTCAAGTTGGGAGAGTAGCTCACGGTGCAGAGGGTGACAGAAAGGGAAAATATAAGAGAGAAGTCGAGATGGAGGATAGATCCAGAAAGCTGATAATAAGGTAATTCATCTGAGGTGAGAGAACAGAGGTAGAGAAGCAAATAAATGATAAAAATGAATATCTCTGAACTAAAAAACTTTCCGATGAAAAACACTCAGCATGTGCCTGGAACTATTCTGCTGAAATTTAAAAATTCCTAACATAAAGTTTGCAAAGAGAATTACCAGGATACCCGCAAGCTCCTCCCCCCAACCCCCCAAAACCACAAATACAAGCATAAGGTTGTCATCATACATTTTCCATTAATAATACTGATTTTGGAAGACAGTAGAGCAAGATTGCAAAGTTTTCAGGAAACATTATTTTGAACCTAAATTTTATAGCCAGCTAGCCTGTTACTCAAGGATCCAGGCAAAATGAGCCAATGACTCAGGAAGTTTTTCCTGTTTACTCTTCCCCGGGTGACTTGAGATGTACCTCGGGAGAAGGAAAAATGAATCCAACAAACAGCAGAACTGCTGAGGAACAAAATGAAAAGAAATTTCAAATTATTAGCCGCAAATGGACCTAGAAAGCAGTTGGTCCAAAGTAGAACACAGTAGACAGGGGGTGGTGATTGATGAACACGATTAATAAAATGTGTAACAATCTGGAAGATCTTCAGTCTGTCAAAAGGTCTACCTATGTTTATCCTCTCCATTCGAATAAAGGGAACTAAAACTATTCAGAAGTGTTGATAAGGTGAAACGAACCGAAGTGTAACATGACTTGGAAAAAGAAAAAGGGTGTAAATAAAGAGAATGCATTTTTCCATTATTTTTTGGATGGATATTTTTGGTGACATAAAGTCACATTTCTATCTTTATGGGCCTTACATACCATTTGGTTCTTTTAAGAAAAAAAAATTATTGATTGATTTTCCAGAGAGAGAGAGAGAGAGAGCACACAAGCTGGGGGAGTGGCAGGCAGAGGGAGAAGCAGGCTCCCTGCTGAGCAAGGAGGCTGATGTGGGACTTGATCCCAGGACCCTGGGATCAAGACCTGAGCCTAAGGCAGAGGCTTAAGTGACTGAGCCACCCAGGCATCCCCATGCTACTTGGTTCTGCAATTAGTATTTATATAATCTTAATATTATGAATGTCTCTCGCTGGCTTTCCGTTTTTATAAAGTTGAGCTACAAAGTACAGAAAACTAACTTAAAATGACAGAACAGTACAGAGGTCCAAGCCCGGATGATGATATTAATCAGCTGACAAGTCTGGAAGAGGAAAAGGGTGAGCCAGAGGCTAGCCTGCGGGGATCTACTTTCCTCACCTTACAGCACGGGGAGTGGGTCCATGATGCCAGAAGGCAGTGAATCAGGAAGCAAAGATTGAGGCAGATTATTTAAAGTGATGCATGTACCCATTCAAGATCTCAGAATGTTAATGTCACTAACAAAAATTAGAAGGTGAAATGCAGGTGAGCTCAGAGTATAAAGTGTGTTAAATGCACACACCTTTCCTCATAGGAAGCGGATATGTATTATTTGATGTTGATAAGGCCAGAAACACAGGCACACACATACGGATTAGCTCTGTGGTATAGAAGACCTCAAACCAAAACCGTTTAAAAATGGTTGCTTCTGGAACAACTGGGTGGCTCAGTCGGTTAAGCGTCTGCCTTCAGCTCTGGTCATTACCCAGGGTGCTGGGATCGAGTCCCGCATTGGGCTCCCTGCTCAGCGGGGAGTCTGCTTCTCCCTCTGCCCCTCCCCCTGCTTGTGCTCTCTCTCTCTCTCTCTCTCTCTCTCTCCCCCAAAAAAAAAAAAAAAAAAAATCGCTTCTGAGAAGTAGAACTATGGCCAGGCAAAGGGGTATTTAGCATAACGGAGAGAGTTTCATTTAAATCACGAGGTACCCTTAGAGTTTATTTTTTTTAACATGTTATGAACAGTCTTTTGTAAATAATAGCATATATATTTAAAAGCTCTTCCAGCGAGCGATGCTTTTTTATACATGTGGGAATTGGGAAGAATGTGCTCTACACTGTCCAGGGTATTCTAAGCCCCTGACCCTCTGAGCCCTGGTTGCCTTAGGAGATCTGAGATTCCCCCCAGTGTCCTGGAGGCTCATCCTGATTGCGGAGAACCTGGGAAACCTGCCCCAGGTCAGGTCAAGGGAGGAA